CACTAACATCCCTCTTTCATCACCGCATTCTGTGACTACTTCACACATTTGTCTCCTTTCAGACCCAATTCTATGACCTGGTCTGGCCCTAACCTTCAGTTTATGTTGTCACAAGAGCCCCTGAGCTGGCCTATCTGGACTCAGATTCTGTTCCCCCCAGTCACCTAGCATGTCATGACTGGAATAACCCTTGATTCAATCTATCAGCGATTTTCTATTTCCTACGATGTCAGGTGGAACTTGTTCTGCCTCTCTTTCAAGGCCCTCCATGTTCTTTCTTCTCTGTCTCCTCCTTCCCCCCATGCTGCAGCCCCCACGCCTACCCCTAACACACAGGGAAAGGAGACTGTTATGGTGCTCCCTGCAGATACCCTCTTCAGGGCTGATGCACCCATCCCATCTCACCGTCTCACCTGGCTGCTGACCCTCGCTGAAACTAACAGCTGGATCCTCACTGAGATCTGCCCTTAGAGGCAATACATGCCCCATCCTAGGGATGGCTTGTGCGCAGTGACTGAGGGATGTGGGCTACAAAAGCCTGTCTCTCTCTCTTCAATTTGGCACCACTCTAAAATGCGCCCCCCAGCTCCAGAGCTCCCCATAGGATCAGACAAGTCCTCAATTGTGACCTGATGGCTTTTCCCACCGCACAGTCCTCATGTGCTTAGAGGCGTCTGTTCTGCAAGCGTTCCCCCAATAAACCTTCTGCTCACAACTCTGGCTCAGAGTTTGGAAAACCAATCTAAGATAGACAATTCCAGTTCCCAGAGAAGGAAACTCGAACCCAGGATTTGGAGAAAGCTCCGTCGCTGGGCAGCTGCTGAGTATGGGTCCTGGCGTGCTGCGGCCGTGCCTTGTTAAAACTCTTCCCAGAGGTAAATCAGGATGGGAAGCTGGTTGGGGAACTCGCGGCTGGTGCAATATTGACACCAGAACTCAAATGAAATTATTTAGACAGATAATGAGGGTAAGAGAGTCCTCAATAAAGTTTCCCTTTTGATAAAAAGCAGCCCCAAAATCATTCTTTTTTTTAACAAAGAGCAGCCTGAAATATCAAGCTGCAGATATAGAAAAGCAGCCAGAAGCTCGCACGGGAGAATGCCGGCAGCTGTGCCGATAGGAAAAGGCACCTGGGGACCAAGCATGTTCTACAGGGAGGCTCGATCTTCCCTTTTCTTTGTCACTTGTGTGCAATCAGGGAACAGGCCGCACAGCGCTGGGCAGGGAGATAACTCATCTGCATAACAAAAGATGAGGGTGGGGCGGCCAGCTTCACTATGTAAATGACACACCTAATCCAACCAATCCGTTGCACCCTATCTGAATCAGACACTGCCTCCTCAAACTCATCTATAAAACCAACTGCATCTCCCCACGAATGGGGAGATCCACTTGGAACCCTCTCTGCACGAGGGAGCTTTTCTCTTTTGCCTATTAAACTGCCGCTCTTAAACTCACTCCTGTGTGTCTGCATCCTTGATTTCCTTGGCATGAGTCAATGAACCTCAGGTGTGACCCAGAGGAATGATGCTGCTTCGATATATTTGGTGCTTAAAAGTTGTGAGGGGCAGAGTGATTATAAGGGCTTTGGGATTGGGTACCTGCTTACAAGTGGCATTGACTTGTTGAAGAATAAAAGACTCAAAGTGATTAATCACCAATTCAGATAGAATGTAAAAGCCCTAGATAGGGTCTTCTAGCTAGCATTCAACTAAGCCCCAGTCTTCTGCAGTCAGAAGAAGACTCAATTGTAAAAAGAGCTCTGTTTCCGAGAATTGTGTATTCTCAGCTCCAGCAAGTCTCTTGTCCCAAGATTAGAACCCTAATAGGGAAGTAGAACCCCTAAAATTGGGAGAGGAGTACTTGGGTAGATGCAGTTGGAACTCTCAAAGTCTCCTGATCCTGCTAGGTCTGTTGTTAGCCTCTCATTTCTGCTGGGGATCTGCTGGATTGGCTAAGGGAAGAAACAGAGTATACGGTGAAATCACAGCAGGAGCTGGGAGAAGGATGGGAATGTGTCCCAAGGCTGCTGTATCAAGGAAGAAGAGCAGGACATTACGCTGGATAATGCTTATCACCATGGGAGCAGTCTCCTGTGATTCAGGATTTGAACCTGTGGAAAAATCCCCCAGGAATGGTGATAATAAGCTACTAGGATGATTCTTGGAGTGTCTCAAACGCTTTGATTCACACTCCATGAAATAGAAATGTAAGAACTTCCATGGTGAGTGATGGATAAAACCACCCTAAGGCTCAGAGAAGTGGGCGTGCTAAAGTGGGTTTGTTCTGTAAAGCTATGAAAACTAAACCACTCACCAACTGTGTTCCCAGGAAGGTCTCTAGTTACCAAAGCTATGATGCTTGTGTTCATGAGAGGGATAGCAGCTCTAGTGCTCAGCAGTGCCATCATCTGTAGGCCAGGGATAACTGTAGGAAGAGATGCTGCTATAAAACTAGGTTCCCTGAGGGATGCGAGAATACCAAGATCTCAACATAAAATGAGCCAGGTTGTAATGTTTACCTTTCAGAAATGGGCACAGTTATTGCAAAGAGGGGTAGGACTGTAGTGGCACCCGTGGACTCCCAATTTGAAAATGGTTACTAGAACATGATGCTTCTGAAGGCAAGATGGATGGGGGGTTGTAGGGGGAGGGCAACAAGAAGTATTGCTTAATTCACACAGTCAAAATAAATCAGTAAAGGAAAATCAGAGGCAGAGGGCAGAATCTCAATGAAAATCCCAATCCCTTGTTCGGTTTCCAGATCAGACCTGAAACCCATTGGCTGAAGAAGTGGCTGATTCCTTATGACCCGGCAATACCAGGGCAAATCTATTCATTTGTTATTTCCCTACTTCTTAACCAGGGAGCTCAGGATGACTTTATTCAGGTAAATGTGGTTTGGGAGAGAAGAACGCTCAGCGCTTTTGAGAATTATTGAATACTGCATCTGAACTGATGCCAATACCTGGAGGCCCAGTGAACCGCCATGGCTCCCTACTACTGTAGAGTTATATAGGGTCTACTAGAGTCCTCCAAGCTCTGGCTCTCAGTGGGCCCACGGTCCACAGACTAACCTATTGATCCTTTCCCTCATTTCCAAATACGTAATTAGAAAGGGCACTCTTGGTAGTTTGAAGAACCCTCACATTGATTCTTGAGTTCTTAGGTAAGAGCTATTGCAGTGGAGAAAGACTAATGGAAGACTCTGAAGCTGCTCCCCAGCCTAGAAAAAAGAGTAAATCAAAAATGATGCTGAATTCCAGAAGGAATCAGGGAAATTATGAACCCATCGAAGACTTTAGTACTGTAGTAGCCCTGGCTATATTTCCATTTACTTCACCATGCTGGCTCCTACAAAAATCAAATGGAACATGGCAGGATGTCCCAGCAGTAGCCCCAGTTACTCCTACTGCACTCAGTGTGATCTCTTTGCTAAAGCAGATTAAAACAACCTCCAGAACTTTACCTGGCAAGCGTGTTTTCTGTCATCCCAATAGGTGGGAGGACCAGAGGTAGTCTGTGTTCCAATGGGATGAACAGTTTCTGTTTATGACCTTGTCCCCAGACTATGTAAGTTATTACGCTCTTGGTCAAAATGTAAACTGAAGGGACATTCTGTAAATCACTACACAGATCCATCATGTGATTGGCATCATGTAATAGGACCAGATGAGAAGTATGGGGCAAGCTATGCTGGAGGGCTTGGGAAGCGCACAGTCCATACACCTTAGAAAGTGGGCAATAAACCTCATCAAAATCCAGGAAACTTCTGATTCTGGGTAAGATCCATTAGACATATTTTTTTCCTATTCCCTCCACTAAAATCTGCAGATGTTATGTGTGTGTGTAAGTGTATACACTATATACACTATACCCTATATAGACACCATTCTCTACTTTTTCTCACACAATATATACACTATACACTATATATACATTGTGTATATACACATGCACACACACATATAACAAACATATGAGGCTGTAGAAGGTGGAGAAAAGAAGGCAGACAAGGTAGAAAACTCAGGATTCAAGGAGTGGTATGGCAGTGATTTCCCTGGTTTTGTTTGTTTTGCCTTCTATTCTAGACTAAATACTAATGAAGTCAGTAACATCAATGGATTCAAAAAACAACAACAAAAATAAGCATGGTTTGCCATATTTTGTTTTTGATAAGTTGAATGGGCATCTGCTCTGTGTGGGAAGCAGGGTGAAGGGGTAACAAGGTTGGGGATTAAGGAGAATTCAGAAGATAACATGATGAATAAGACATTTTAGGCTGCTCTGCCTATGCAGTAGGAATTCTTTATTCCTTTACTTTCTTAATAAACTTACTTTCACTTAAAAAGTTTTCATTGCATTATTTATGACTTGGTCTTATTGCTATCACTCATGCAGACATTAATAATCAGTGGTGACAGGTCATTCATTAAATAAGCTTTCTGGGAATATATACATTCTAAGTTGTTCACACAATAGCAAAAGTCATTTTCATTGACTTTGTAACTTAAAAATCAGTTGACCAACTTCAAAAACAAGTGAGTTGAAATATGTTAGCACACAGTGAAATATTCTGTCCCATTTAATAAACGAAGATGAACTATTTACTAGGAAGTTGAGTTTAATTCCTTTGAAGTCTACACAATGGATCAACCATGTGCAATTTGATTCTGAATTTTATTTTATTTTTTATTTTATTTATTTATTTATTTATTCATTTATTTTTTGAGACAGAGTCTCACTCTGTTGCCCAGGCTGGAGTGCAGTGGTGCGATCTTGGCTCGCTGCAAGCTCCGCCTCCTGGGTTCAGGCCATTCTCCTGCCTCAGTCTCCCCAGTAGCTGGGACTACAGGCACCCCTCACCATGCCCGGCTAATTGTTTTTTGTATTTTTAGTAGACACGGGGTTTCACCGTGTTAGCCAGGATGGTCTCCATCTCCTGACCTCGTGATCCGCCTGCCCACCTCGGCCTCCCAAAGTGAGCCACCACGCCTGGCCTGGATTTTATTTTTTATTGCTAATTGAGTTTTCTTGAATGGCAGATTAAGTCAATTCATAGAAAAATGCAGGCGCTGTAAACTAAGAAATATTTATATGAAGAAATGTTGGAACTCATGAGAAGTAAATGTGAAAATGAACAAAACTCAGGACAAGTGTGTCCCTGGTGCTAACGGGGAGACTAATGGTGGGCTTCCATCTGCTGCAGTTTCTCAAGGCTTCCTTGTTTAGTGTTTCTCATTCAGCCAGCACAGTGAGAATACTCTGTCTTCAGCTGGTGGGGGATCTGGAAGAGGCTTGGAAGCTCCCAAAGACCAGGATTGAGGGCCACCTCCATCACTTCTGCTCCTTGGATGCCTGATTCTAATTATCTTAGAAGATTCCAGACTCCAAAGGAGATCATGTGACATAAGCCAGAGGTTGAACTCACTGCGGTTGAACAAAAACACTCTGAATCCACAGTGCTGTTTCACGGCTCACTGCAACAAGTTAAAAATTCCACTTTTATGGCACATCACACCAGGATCACATATAATCCTAGATTATCTTTATTTGTTCTATAATTTAATAGTATACCTATAAAATAATTACATTATACTTATAGCTTTTCTTCATTTATAAACAAAACAAAAAAATTAAATACAATTTGAGCCATTATAAGGTAAACTTTGTACATACGATAACCCCCAGAAGGAGCTTCACACTGCAGCATATCATATTGCTTTCATTGCTACACCCACAATTGGGTTCGAAGAGAGTGTGCTCGTGTTTGCATTCTGTAAGTTCTTACCTTAATCCCTCCCCTATCTGTGTGGGTTCCATGTTAATAAAATGATAGGGGTTGGCTCTGCAGCTGGTCAGAGACTCCCTTCCACTCACCTCCCACTCCACCCCTAGCCTCCATTACAATCACGTAAATTTCCTTCCTTCACAGCTTTTCTGCTGCGTGTTCTGCCACCGAGTCTGACTCGAGGTTTTCCGCTAAATGCAAAAATCAATCCTGACCTTGAACACCCTTCTCTCCATTTTCTCTCTATCCTCAGGTTCCAGCCCTCAAGGATTTCTTTTGATTTCTGCCTCCAGAGTTCAGGCTGTATATACCCATTTATGAAACCAAGAGGCCCTCTGCAACAGCACATTCTTGCTCAGGTCTCATGGTGTTGCAGAAGCGACAGAAATGGACCTTGCAGTGCAGTGGCCTGAGATAGATTCACCAACCCACCCCACCCCAATCCTTGCTCTTCAAGTGAATGTCTCTAGATCCACCATTACTGCCTAGCATCAGGAAGCCAAGTCCCCACAGCAGCTTGCAGAGGGTCTCCCTCACATACTAGGGAAGCGGCCCCTCACAGGAGCACTTGCTGGGGAATCATCAGTGAAAGGTTTGCAAAGTTTACTGATTCCCACCAATGGCAGCTCATTCACATTTGTCAGATTCCATAAGCATTACTCACAGGGAAGCCTTCCGGGGACAACTGAGCAAAGGGACCTAGAGGAAGTATAATTTTGCTGGAAAATAAGTTATGTCTACTTCCTTATATCAAGAGACCACAACATGGAAACTTCAATAATTCATTATAAAAACAAAAGGTGACCTGATGTTTGTTCATCTCTTTTGAAGTCTATTCTTTGAAAAGGAAGCAAGTTTTGTGCAGAACAGTTCAACTAGATTACTATTCCATATATTTTATCCCTTATTCCCTTCTGTACCACAAAGCGACTCAACTCCTTATATGTTTAAATATCCCTTTCTTTTTCTCTTTCTTTTAACAGGAAATAGTTTTTGCTTAGTGTCACGGCAGTGAAAATAGTATACCGCTTCACCCCACATATGCATATTCCACATTACAGGGGCTTTCGAGTTTCCGGTCATCAATTTCCCGACGAATGCCCCTCCCTATACCTATCCATCCCAAGCCAGTTTCTACATTGTGCTGCAATGTTTTAGTAACTTCAGTGAAATAATATTCAAAGTAAAAATCACGACTCCTCCCATCTCCCTGCCCAATCTAAAATAGGTGCATGACAGTGAATTGCTGACCAGGCATTTTTTTTTCTGAGTAAAACACCTTCTGGGCAGATCATCGCCGGCTCTCATCCTTACTCAGAATGGTGCTGCAAGCCAGAGTCAAAACATGTGAAATAATACATGAATAGGTCTATAATACTTTTTAACAGCTCTTTACAATATACTGTCACTTATAAAACCAGCGTTAATATAGAGACCTTTGTGTGTGATAATATTCTAATTGCAGCAATAATAGCATGCACACCAGAGTTCATCTTTAGTCCACAAATAGGGGGTGGGGACAGTGAGGAAGAAGAGGCGGTGGTGACTGAGGGTGGGGGATTGTGCAGCCTGCTGTGCTCAAGGTTTCCCGGGAAGCCCACTTCGGGATCCAAGTGGCTCAAGTTGTCTTCTTGGTATCAGGTTTATTAGGAGACGCCCCTGTGCACCGACATATTTATGGAGGTTGTACATATCCCCATCACAGCAGCAGCCGAGGGCAGCCTGCCAGTCACAAGAATGAGCGCTTCCAGCCAGAGGTCCAGGGACCAGCAGGAGAGGTCTAAGGGGCAGCTCAGAAAAGTGACGCATCCTTCACTTCGCGCGGGAAGGGGGCGAGCTGGAGTGCAGGGGGCGGGGGCGGGGCAGAGAAATCCTTGCTTTTCCACATGGTGGAAACATCAATGTCGGATTTACAGTGCATCACCTTGAAAGGTCCTCTCTGACTGCTGGGTGGCGGGTGGTGGTTTTCCAGCATATTCCTTCGGGCCTGATCCACCACCTGGTTTCGGGGGGCACAGGTGGGGCCCGGGGTCGGTCAGGAACACATCAGCAAAAGCTCCACTTGCGATCCACCTTTGTGACAAGGACACCGTCAGCCCTAAGAGACGTGCTTGCTGCTGAGGGGGGACACCAGGCAGCGTGAGAGTGGGCTCGGAGGGCAGGGACAGAGGTGGCGGCGGCGCCACCCAGCGGCCGGGCGCGCGCGGGGCTGAGCTGCGTCCGGCCCGGCGCTCACTGCTTGTCCGAGTCGCTCAGGTTCACGGACATGCAGCGGCACTGCTTCACCTTCTGGATTTTCTTGAGTCGGAAGGGTGGGTCCAGGCCGGGGCACTCGAGCTCCACGAGGACGGAGGTGACGCGCTGGGGCTTGCAGAAGGCGCAGGACTGGAAAGACTCCTCCTCCTTCTTCACGTGCCGCGGGATGTAGAAGGAGTTGCACTGGCCGTAGCAGAAGCGGTTGAGGATGGTGCGGCTCCGGCAGCCCTCCTCGCTCACCGTCTGCCGCAGCGGCTGCGTCTTGCACCAGTCACTCTTGAGGTACTTGCGCTCGGTGACCACCAGGGCCTCCTGGCTGGAGGCCAGCACCTCCTTGATCTGGTGCTGCCATCTCTCTGAGTTGTTGCTGCTGCCGTCCTTGTAAGGCGAGGGGATGGCGCCCGGCGGCCGGTTCTTCCGGGCTTCCGCCACCTTCACCAGCACGGCCACCAGGAACAAGGACAGGGAAAGCTTCCAGAACATCCTGCAACGAGAAGAGAGAGGGGCTGGCTGTGAAGGTCGTAGAGTACGGGCTCGATCTTTTTTCTTTTTTTTTTTTTTTAAATTTTAGACATGGTCTGACTCTGTTGCCCAGGCTGGAGTGCAGGGGCACGTAGCTTGCTGCAGCCTCAAACTCTGGGATCCTCCTGCCTCAGCCTCCTGTGTGGCTAGAACTACAGGCTTGCACCACCACGCCCATCTAATTTCTTTTTATTTCTTTTGTAGAGATGGGATCTCACCATGTTGCTCAGGCTGGTCTGGAACTCCTGGCCTCAAGTGCTCCTCTGCCTCAGTCTCCCAAAGCCCTGGGATTGTAGGCCTGAGCCACCACGTCTTTCTAATGCTGTACGGTTTTACTAGCAGTGTCAGTCAGGTGGGGCCTGGCTAACTGATGGCTGCTCAGGGGCAGCCGGAGGTGAAAAGGGATTCAATGGTACAAGTGTAGACAGTTAGGACTCCACCCCAAATAATGCCTGGAAGGCAAGGAGGCAGACAAAATGGCCAGTAACTTATGCAGTTGGGAGACATACACATGCTGAACAGTTACAGAATTACAAAGCAAATGCAGGGAAGAGAGAACTCAAGCCAGTTTGCAGAAGTACCAATAATAGTTAATACTCAACATTTACTGTGTTTCACTATGCGCCAAGTGCTGGCCTAAGTGTACATCTCATTTACATGTATCTCTCATTTCATCTTAAAAATAGCCTTCAGTTGGAGGTAGTATTATGACCCCTACTTTACAGTGAAGGAAACTGAGGCTGGGGCCCGCAGAAGTTGAGTCATTTACCTGAGGTCACACAACCACTCAACAATGCCTAGGATTTGAAGCCAGCCAGGCGTCTACCTCCAGAGCCATCAAAGTTAACCAGTAGACATGGATATGATTACAAAAATCAGTAAGTACAAAACAGAGAGAAGATGGGTGTCATTCACAAGTTTCTTTAAAAATGAGTATTAAAGATAGAACTGGACAAAGGCTAGGAAAATTACTGGTTGCATCTGTATTATTACATATGAATAATAACATTAGCATTTAAGATCTGCACACAGATATTCAAATCATTCAAATGAGTCATAAATTAGAGTCTCCTAGTAGAAACCAATTCCCAGGTGTGAATTAAGAAATTTCCCTAGTTGTATTAAAACTGTCTGGTGACAATGCGAAGTTTGTATTAGGAGACTATGACACAAATTCGATAGGAATGGGAATCGGAGACAAATTATTCTTATGCTATCTAAAACGTGGCTTGCAGGGGGTAAGCCAAAGTCTGACTAAAGTGAAAGTGTAATTCACATTTTAAATTTTTGTATTTTTATTAGTAGCCCCAAGGAACACTAATACCCTGCAATATAGAGGACTCCGATCTCTTTTTACAGCTGCAGCCACCAATGTAGCTGTTACCAACATCATCATCCTCTTTACGTTTACTCATTTCCTCTGTTTTACCATCTCTAGGCCTCCATGAATTCCCATTCTTTTAACATGCATACCCTAAAATGGACATGTAACAATTTTATGTATATATCATATGTATCATACAGTAATATAGTATATATCAGTTATAATGTTATTTTTATCAATCATGAGTATATAGAAATGACTAAAATTGGATATTAAGTATGTTAAATGTTTGAATATTTTACGTCTTACATATATCCATGCTAATGGTAATAGCGAATATTTATGGATTCTCAAAGCACATCAAACACAGTTTCCTTTGATGTATAAACGTATTTAATGATCAGAGTTCTATGAAGTAGGTACTAGCATTTTCTGCATTTTATGGATGAGGACACTAAGGCATTGACAGGCTGCCAAGATTCTACAGCCAGTATGTGACATGTTTGAATCCAGGCATCCCGGCTCCAGAACCTGAGCTCTGGGTGAGTACAGCTTCCTCTTTGTTAAAAATATTTACGGCAAAATATCTACGCTAAAATTATTTCTCTGAGTCTTAGTCTAAGTCTAAACCACAAGATGCCTTTGCATGCTACCTCGGAGATGATTCCTTTATTCATCAAGTATTCATGGAGCATTTATTCTAGAGTAAGCACTGTGATAGGCTCACTGCAACCTCTGCCTCCTGAGTTCAAGCAATTCTCCTGCCTCAGCCTCCCAAGTAGATGGGATTACAGGTGCGTGCCGCCAGACCCGGCTAATTTTTATATTTTTAGTAGAGACAGGGTTTCGCTATGTTGGCCAGGCTGGTCTCGAACTCCTGACCTCAAGTGATCCGCCCGCCTCAGCCTCCCAAAGTGCTGGGATTACAGGCCACTGCGCCTGGCTAGGGCAAAGTTCTCACAGGGTCGGATGAGCCTTTACAAGATCTCCCCTTTCCCCCGCATTTCACCAGCCTTCTCCATCCTCTCTCCCACTTGCTCACTCTGCTCCAGCCATACTGGAAACAGCCTATCTGTTTCTAGAATGAGCTTGGCATTCTTGTGCTCTAGAGCCTTACCTTGTCTTTCTCCCAAATGTCTACTTGGCCTTCTTCCTCACAGTCTTCAACTCTTTGCTCAGTTACCACCTGTGTAGCAAAGGCTTAGTGTTACCTTCACCACCATCCTGGACTTCACCATCTCCTCCTTCCCTGCTTTATCTTCCTCCAGGGAAGGAGATTCCAGGGAAGTATTTCATAATCTCACTTGTTTTTATTGTCTGACTTTTCTCCTGGGAATGTAAGGTCCAAGAGAGAAGTTCTGCCTGTTTTGTTCATTGCCATGTCTCCTGCTCTCAAAACAGTGCCTGGTGTACACTAGGCACTCAATAAATGTGTTAAGGCCAGGCGCGGTGGCTCATGCCTGTAATTCCAGCACTTTGGGAGGCCAAGGTGGGTGGATCCAGTGAAGTCAGGATTTGAGACCAGCCTGGCCAAAATGGTGAAACCTCATCTCTACTAAAAATACAAAAAATTAGCTGGGCGTGGTGGCACACACCTGTAGTCCCAGCTACTCGGGAGGCTGAGGCAGGAGAATCACTTGAACCCAGAAGGCAGAGGTTGCGGTAAGCCGAGATTGTGCCATTGCACTCCAGCCTGAGCAACAAGAGTGACACTCTGTCTCAAAAAAAAAAAAAAAAAAAATGTGTTGAATGAAATATGGATACTATACAGGTCATTGCCTTCAACAAGCCTGTAATTAAGAAGCTAGAGAAAGGCGTACAAATGACTGTGTGACGAAGGTGTATAGGAACAATGGCCTGGGTCCTCGTGGTAGTGATCCTGTGACCAATGACATCTGAATCACCTTACTTTACGGTGCACGTTCCTGGACTCAAGAAGCATTATTTTTTTAAAAAAAGTTTTAATTAAATTTGTTTTCGTTTTTAATTTGTGTGGGTACGGAGTAGGTGTATATATTTATGGAGTACGTGAGATCTTTTGGTACAGGCCCCAAAGCATTCTGAGTCAGTCGTGTTGGGGTGGGTTTCAGATTTGTATTTCTAAAAATTGCCTCACGTAATTCTGATGGGATCCAATGGCCACAAAAGATAGTGAAGGCAAAAGGAAAAAGCATTGGTTCTACCCGGAGAAGGAGCAGGAGGAGCCTAGGAAGTCACAACTAAGTAAGTCCCCTAAAATCTGAATAGGATTCTCAGGGCGATGATATGGGCAAAAGCAAAGGGGTTTGGTACTGTCGATGACACTGGGCAAAGGGAGTAAAATTAAAAAATTGAAAGCAGAAAGGAGAAAAAAAGGAAATTTGTTTTGTTTTGTTTTGTTTTTTGCAAAGACATTTTGTCCAGCACAATTATTAAAATTTTAGTGCCTCATTTTTAAAGGGTTTTTCTCATGCCTCCTTAGTTCCACACATGAAATGTCATATGAAAGTGGCCACGCTTCCAGCTGGCTCAGGCCAAGTGTCGAGTGTTGGACTTGCTCAGCTTACATAGCTTATTATATTTGTGGAATGATTTGTGATCTCAATAGCCTCTTAAAAAGAAAGTATTTTGGTTCCATTTTAATAATTTCCGAAATTATTAACATTCTGAGTAAACATAACCAAGAATTTGCAAGTCCCAGCCAGGAAAGATTGACAGAGTCAGTCTGGTCCTCGATTCCTAGTTCCAGTAACAGCTTCACTTGTATGGTTGATAGGCTCAAAAATGCACGCTTTCCTTCAACAGATCCTAGATCTTATCAGAGAGAACAGAGCTAAGACAGAGCTAATGGAGCTAAATCAGATCAATTTGAGGCAAAAACTCTTAGAGCCAATAGTATTAGATGTGGTGATGGGCATTCTTTGAACTCATTAACATGTTTTCAAAACATCTGGCCATCATCCTTAGAAGTTGTGTCTCATGGGAAGCTAAGCAAAAATGCAAACCTTCGATTTTCAGAAAGGAGGAAAAGAGGTTGAGGAAATCTCGATGACTGGGCCAAGTCAGTCTCTTCTCTTTTTCCTTTCCTACATCTCGTTTCTTTTCTCCTTCACACATAGCAGTGGTAAGATGGCCAAGGATCTGGCATCTCACTGTCAGACAGGTGAGTAGGCAAGAGGTGTTTGGCCATGGTGACCCAGAGCGATTGTGAGGCTGTATCCTCCTACTTCAGAGCATTAAGGCAGTTGAGCCAGCAACTGCTAACAGCACCTACACTGCTGGCCCTTGGCTGTGCAAAGTTCACCAGCGGAAAGAACGTGCTCGCCTCTGTCAGTTCGCTAACCATCCCTGTGCAAGCATGTCAGTGGCCTCGCCAGGACCTGAATTTAGCACTTTATAGAAAGTCCTGCTCTGTCCTGAACCACTTTGCTACTCAAAAAAATGGCTGGCACACAATTAACCTCTCAGGAATGCTGCCACCCTTGCCAGTAACGACAGCACGAGGATACTTCATTTTATTCTCACATCTTGTATTTGGCTTGTATCAGAAGAAACTCATAAATAAATCCTGTTGGTTTTATTAACCATCTTTCTGGCCTGACGATGTTCTCAATTTGCAAGGGGTGCCAGGACTATAAATGCTGATGGTCTAAGCAGAC